TCTTGTAATTAAACGGGCAACCCTGACCCGCATGCGGGCGGGTCTTTCCATTACGGATAAATGTGCACGTTGTTGCGCCCTTTGTCGCTCCACTCTTCATAACGCCGGTGGATTTCCCGAGGCGCGCTGCTACCTCGGCCGCAGCAGCTTTGCCGTTGAGGCCTCGGCGGATCTCGTTGCCGTTGCCGCCGCCGCCGCCCAAGCGCTGCTGGCGAGCACGTTGGTTCAAGTACCCTCATGCAGATCGATGTTCCATTCTTCTTTCTCACGCAACATCATCATTTCAATCTGAGCTATGAGCCATTCGTAAGTGCGCATGCCCGTCCCTGGCTTGTCTGAAGACATATCATAAAACTGACAAGCCATGCTCGACTGCTTCGGCTTCCTGCATTGCTCAAGGAAGTGGGCGTGGATCGAAGCTCGCATCTCGTCGGACGGAGGTCGTACGCCGTAAAGCTGCTGATGCACGTCTGTCCATTCGTTGTAGAAATGGTATAGATCAGCGTCAGGGCGATTGGGATCAATAGCGACCTTGAAGATATCTCGCGAAATACGATGCTGACCCAGCTCCGATCTGACTGAGCACCAATTGCATATGGCCCGTATGATTTCGCGCCCTGTAAGAAGTCTCTTTTCATTCTGGGCAGCGAACTCCATACGCTGGATCTGGTGGAGGAAATGATTGTGATGAACGGAAAAGTTGCGATTTCTGCGCATCTTCGTAAACTTCTCAATCAAGTTAGTGGCAATCATGAGGTCAAGACGCCGGAAGCGGCCCGGGTTTCTAAATTGTTCTTTGGGCATGGTGGGGTCCATGGCTTCCATGATCCAAAGCTGCGCCTCCTGGATCTCAGGGGATGATCCAGCCGCAGCACGGACGGTATGCATCTGCCATTCCCGTATGTTTGTAACGTCGGGAATGTCCATTAGATCAACCTCTTGATTGTTGCCAACCTGTCTCCAATGGTCCAGCGGGGTACTCTCGTCGGGACCTCCTGGGCCATTGGGCCCACCTGGGCCCTGAGGTCCGCCAGGGCCGCCTCCACCGCCTGGGAATCCAGGGCCCCCCGGTTCCTCTTGAGGCGGCTTCCCTGACTGGTCTTGGGCGGCATGGGCGACTGCGTACAAGGTCGGTACTTGGGGCGGTACTTTGATCATCCCCATCATTGCTCTGCCCTGCGCCGCCAGACGGCGTGGCCGCTGGCGTGTTACCGTTACCCCCGCCCGGCGGCTGGGCCGCTGGTGGCCTCGCTGGCCCTGCCTGGGTGAAAGGGTGATAGCAAATTAGGGTCATGTCGTCAACGGCGCCGTGCATCTCGGCGTTGAAGGGCACGTTTTTCCCGGAGATGCCTGGCTTGGCCGGACCTTCGGCGGCAGGGCCAGGGACAGCGAAACGAGCTTGCAAAGCTGGCCTGGCGGGCGTTTCCTGCGAAAGCTGGGGCATATCGAATTGATGAAATTTGGGCATGTTATCCAGCGCTTTTTCGATACATAGGAAAGATTACATACCCGTGGTCTTTGTCATCTCGTTTTGCCCTTTCTTCCAAGGCCGCCTCTCGGTCAGCTGCTTGCGATCGAGACCGCATATGTTGGTCTTTCTCTTTCAAGGATCCGGTGATGGCAGCTTTGAGCCCCATCACCTCTCTTTGTTTGATGCGGCTGCGCGAGCCAGCGCTTCTTCTTTTTCACGAATGTTGGCGGCTGACTTTTCCGAGCTCAATCGAAGCTGTTCCCCAGCTTGCTCCTTCAATATTGCATGTTACACTTGTCAGCGTAAATGTCATCAAGGAGCTTTTGCTGTCGGGCCAAAAGGTTCGGTTAGCGCTATCTCGCTTCCATTGCTCACCCCACGCTGCCTGTTCTACAGGCAAGCTCTTCTGTCGGGCGCATGCGACGCAACGCTTCGTGATCATATCAAAGTGGTCTTTGCAACTTGGCGATCCGCATGTAGCGCGCGAGCCAGCCTTCGGTTTGGAACATACTGAACAACTTTCGGCAAGGTCCCCCCGCGCGGGCTGAGGTTGCTGGGCAGCCCGCGCCCGCGGCAATGGCGGCATCCCTCCTGCTGGAGGCGCCGAGCTAGGCCTGGCCTGCGACGGCGTAGCACCAGACGGCTGGGCCGCCGGTGAGGGTCGTCTGCCCGCCCCTGCCGGCTTGGCCGGTAAGCTCGCTCCGTCGCCCGATTGTATTTGGCGAAGCGATGCCCTAGCGTGTTCATGCTTCTTGAGCTCATCTTGATATCGCTTGTTCTGGTCAGCCATTTTCGCAGCTATGGCCTGTGCGTTGGCCGCTTCCAGCCTGGCAGCGCAGACTTGATCTTGGAGCTCCTTTCTTTCATGTTCTGCTTTGGCTTTCGCGCCCCCCCCCCCCCCTCCCAGTCTTGCCGCCGCGACAGCGGCGCGGGCGGACTCGGCGCCTACAGCTTGGCTGTGTTCCGCCGGGGCAGCCCGTCGCTCAGAAGAAAATACCCCAACAGACTTGTTTTCGGCTTCTCCCGCGCGCTGCTGGGCAGCCACGGCCTGAGGGGACATTCGGGCTGCAACTCTTGTTCTCGCCGACTGGCAGCTTGGGCCGTGGCGGGCCTATCAGCCTCGAACTTCTTCTGAACGTCGGCAATAACTGCATTCATCTTTTATCGATCCAGCCGGGCCTGTTCGGCCCTCTGGGCTTCCAGGGCCATAGTCTCTTGCTGTCTCTGGGCCTCTGGGGTCCTGGCTTGGTCCTGCATGGCCTGGATCAAAAGGCATTGGCAGTTATGTTCTTCCATCTGGACGCAGTCCTCACACAACCACTGATTGCCACACTTGGGGCACACGCTGGAACAATCCCCACGTGCTGGGCACCTGCAAGGCCCCCCCATTTTGCGGGCTTTCCCTGGGCACCTGTTTTCCGCCTGGGGCGGGCAGCCAGGGCCCTGGTTTCAGCACGCCTCGCGCATGGAAATGGCACTGGTGCTCCTCGAAGTCGATCGGGCGCCAGATCGTGGGATCTTGGGCCGTCCCCGGCTCGGGGCCGACGATCGAGGGCGAATGCGTGCGCTCCCCGGTGGCTTGGCCACCTCGCGAAGTGCCTCATCCCGTTCATCCTGTGCCATCAATTCCGGGAGTGCGACTGGGGGATCAAACGGGTCGTCATCCTCAGCTACCGCGGGGACCGACGGCTGCCAATCGCCTGGGGCGACGGCAGACCGATAGAATCCCTCCTGAAGCGGGGAAGCAGTCAAATCGTAATATTCGTTTCTGTGCTTCTTAGGCTGAGGAGCTGGTGTTCGGCCCGTGGACTCCCGGTCATGCTTTGCATGATGTTGGGAACCTTGATGCAACCGCTGCCGCCTGGGGCGGAGCCTCAGCGATTGGGAGAACGGGGGTTGGTATTGGTGTCCCCCATGGCTCGTGCACCGCTGGGACCTCGCGGACCAGGTCGCTGGTTGTGGAGTCTAGATCTGGTTCCGCAAACGCCTCCCCAAGAGCTTCCAAGTGATCGTAATCAGCGGTCTCCTGCCCTGGGGGTGACCTTCCGCCTTGAGAGGGGCAGTCGGCAGCGTTCAACAACGGCAAAAGTCGGCTCGGGGACATTTCATACGCGGCGTACTCCATGTTATCCTCCATAGAGTTGGCCTCCTCTTCGTCGTCAAACTGTTCGTCGCTGTCTTGACCGGGTTGCCCGTTCCAGGCGATCGGAATGGGGCGAGTCCCGGGCGGTCGATCCCAACCGTCTGGGACGGCGGCGACCATGCCGCTCGGCTCGTCCACGACTTGCGGCCGGCTGGCTGGGCCAGCGGCCGGCGCGATAGGGTGCACGGCTATCGGGCTGGAGTGCACCGTTTCTGGGGACTCAGCTATCCAAGATGAGAAGGCTCCTCGCCTGGCGTTCACGGCTGGGCCGTTCCGCCTCATCGGATTCGGGGTCTGATCACGCTCGCTGATCGGAGCACGAGTGGGAGAATCGTCGGCAGATAAATCTATGACTCCTCCGAGAACTCCTCCCCGAGGAACCCGAGTGAGGTTAGAAGGGGGAAGAGAGCGGCCCTCCCCGGGGCCGCCGTCCTGATGATCTTGCCCGCCATGATGTTCATGATGAAGGCTTGCGGGCAATTCGAATGTCTCAACATAGCTCAATCCCCTAGCGACTTGGTCGCGGGCTTCGGCTGATAACCAATCTTTCCTCTGAGAATCGGGGTAAGATGCCGAAGGAACTATGGTCTCGTGATCAACACGCTCAGTGGTAGAGGGTTTGGGGCGAGGCATGGATCGGCCGGCCGACGCCCGGACGCGAGCACGCGGCGGCACGCTCCTTTTCAGGCTTGAAACCAAACAGCTGCAAAGTATCAGTGTCAATGTGAAGCAAGGCAGGCGGCAGGAGAGGCAACTAGAAGATGAGGCGGAGAGGAGCACATTTACTCAAGAGGCTCCCGGTAGCTACAGAAGGGTTCCAAGAGGCCACAAACACAGCCCCAAGATGGCTCTAAGAGGCCGCCAAGGTGGCCCTAACACGGCCCCAAGAGAGCCCCTGCACGGCCCACGAGGGCCTCAGAAAAACGGCCCCGCACGCCCTGAAAACGCTCCCCACAGCACACGCGAAAGCCCCAAGATTCCGCGGCTACGAAAGTGACAATGAGATGCGCCGAACTTCCAAAACGACCTCCCTCCTTTCCACCCGAAGTCATCATCGATGTTTGGCATCTCACTATTTTCTGCATGAAGTGCCTTCGAAAACGCGGGTACATTCCCAAGACAGAGTTTGAAACGCGAAGCTAAGTACAACCATCAAAAGTAAGCGCATCACACAAAAACAACGGCAATGAAGTCAAGTGAGGGTGTGCATCGATCGAATGGAAACCTTCTCTGAACATCGCCCCCATCAAGCACTTTCTTTCACGCGGGCTCCTGGATGTCAATTATGGCGGTTACTGCCGCCCCGGCGAATCATAACAGCACTGTCAGTCGCAAGGACCGATAAGCCCCCAGGAGGTCGGCGGGTATCAGGTCAGCCTGTGAATCTAACGCGCGGTAAACACTTAGTGCCTTGCCGGGGCCACAACCAAAGTCGACGACACTTGCGGCTTCTTCGGTCACCAAAAACTCTCCAATTCCTGCAGCGAGGGCACGGTCCCAAGGTTGAACCATGCGATCGCACACGCCGTCGATACAGATAGATGACCATCTCCCACTTTGCATATCTGTGCAGGTAAGGCCCTTGTGGCTAACTGGATCAAAATCTTCATTTCGCAAAACCCCTCCTTCAGCCGCCAATGCGGACCTTGGGTCCTCCATCTCCTTGTCAGGCACAAGGCATACGTAGCGGCCCTTGAAATCATGGACTTCTACATCGTTATCAAGTTGTGCCTGTGCCAAAACCAAGCTATTGCATGACAGGGACCCCATCCATGGCAAGAGCAACCTATAAATCATCATGCACTTTTGAATTTGACGCGCAGCGCATGTATTTCCAAACAGCTGGCTGGCACCTTGGAAATATCACAACTTGATCCAAGACGGCGATGTACGGAAGAAGAGACGGTTCTGGAAGAGCGCAGACAACAGAAGACACTGAATCGAATCCATCTAAGCCATGAGTGCAACATGCTCCAGACCGAGCGTAATCATGTCGAGCACCGAGCTCGATGAAGGAACCAGTGGATCATAGGCTAGCGAGATCCAGTTGAACATATCATGATGGCTGACGGCCTGAGCTGGGCAAGGTACAGCGCAGGCATAGCCTCACATCAATAGCACGGTATACGCGCGCGTAGATGTGGTCATGCGCACAAGAAGACAAGAACTTGCGCTTGTGACTATGCTGTTGACACCCTGGCACGGCCGTTGCTCCCTGCCGCCCGCGCCATTGCGCGTCCGCCCTCCTCCTCCTCCTCCTCCTCCTCCTCCTCCTCCTCCTCCTGATCGCGTCGGCACCAAGCGATTTCCATCGTCCGTGCAGGGCTACAGGTCAGGAGACTACGTTTGATCAAAATCCTGGGGATCTTGGCTCACCCACCTTCCACCCAACCCACCCACCCACCCACCCATCGCCTTCGCCATTCCGCGTCGGCCGTCCTCCTTTTCCTCCTCGTCCTCCTACTGGCACTCTTCCTTGCACTTCTCTTCCTCCTCCTCCTCCTCCTCCTTCGGCTCTGGCTCAGGCTCTTGCTCTTGCTGCGCCATCTACACATCTGTTCCCTTCTAAAAACATTCAGAATCCAGCCGCCCTGTTTTCTTTGTGCTCCCCCACCCCGCGTTCCTCCTCGTTTTCCTCTTCTTCCTCCTCCTCCTCCTCTTCCACTTGCTCTTCCTCCTCCTCCTCCTCCTCCTCCTCCTCCTCCTCCTCCTCCTCCTCCTCCTCCTCCATTCATTTTCCATATATGACTCTGCCCTGTCAAACCCCGAAGCCGGACGAAAGGGCAGGCCTTGCGTTTCGCCTGCGGCTTCATCACAACTCATGACCCTGACGCATAAAAACGTTGACGACTGTTTCACAAATTAAGGGCGGATTACCTTCAAAATGCGGTTCTTGCCTGAACGCCGCGCCCATCCATTGAACAAGAACAAGAGCTCACGAATTGAAGCCGGGCCGGTTTCAAAATGTGGCTCTCGCTTTAGCGCCGCGCACATTGATTCTATGAATTCGCAAGAGTTTCACTGATTGGGGGCCGGTCGTTTTCAAAATGTGGCTCTCGCCTTAGCGCCGCGCACACTCAATTTCAAAACTGCAAGAGATTCGCGGATTGAGGGTGGCGAGTGTTCTCAACATTTGGTTCTCGCCTTCGCGCCGCCCACATGTGTTCTATAAACTTGCGCGAGGTTCACGGATTGAGGGCGGATAATTTTCAAAATGTGGCTTTCGCTTTCGCGCCGCGCACATTTGTTTCAAACTTTGCAAAAGTTTCACGGCTTGAAGGCGGGTCCTTTTCAAACTGTGGCTCTCGCCTGAGGGCCGTGCTCATTCGTTTGAAACCTTTGCAATGGTTTCACGGATTCGCGTGGCTAACGTCCGAGAAATACAAATTGGAGCGGTTCAGAACTGTCAGGGCGCAACAGTTATGTTGATTCGCGGTGTTTAAATCCCAGGAATGGTGTTGCGGCGCGATTCTGGATCGCCAGCAAGTCACAGCCAGGTTAATTCGAGGCGTTGAAGTCCAGAGAAATATGTTGATGGCCTGGTAGAGGGACGTGCCAGTGCACGTGGGGCAGACCTGCACGCTGAAGCGGTTGCAGGCCCTGGCGAGGAGGACGATGGCCGTCTCCTCGCGGCGGAGACCCTGGGGCGCGCCCTTCGATCCGTTGGACTTGCTGTTGTGCTTGGCGGGGCCCTCCATGCCTAGACCGATGTCCTTCAGGGCAACTGCGATCTCCCCGTCGCCTGCGGGGCCGACCGCGCCCCCTGCGCCGGCCCCGCGCTCGACGCCCGCGGGGGCCGCCTCAACCCCGTCGAGCCGCGCGACGAGGCCGGAAGGGGCAAGCCGCTCGACGCCTCTGGCCCCCCCGCGCCGCGGGGCCTCCGCGCTAGGGCTGCGGGGCCAGGCCGCGCCGTGCTCTGGGCGCAGGGGGGGGGCGCGGCGCCGGGGGCGGGGACACCTCGTCCGCGCGTCGGTCGGCGGGGCCCGGGCGGGCCATGGCCGCCGCGAGTGCCGTGCCGCGGGCTTCCTGCAGCGCCTGGGCGCCCTCCCCCCTTCTCCTGCTGTCCGCCTCGAAGTGGGGCTCGCAGAGGAGGGTGCCCTCGCGCCCCGCGAAGCCCAGGGCATTGCAGCCGGACTCGGCGCAGGCGCGGGCCCCCCCTGGCCCGCGCAGGGCCGCGCGGCGGGGCAGAGCGGGGCTCCGCCCGAAGCGCCACCAGAAGTCATTGGACTCACCTTCGCGTCGTCAGCGCCCGCGGCGCCAGGAGGGTGATCTGGCCCGCCCCGCTCTCGCGCCAGCCGACCTGGTGTGCCACGCATGGCGCGCCCTCGTCCTCGGTCTCCGACTCGTCGCGCGGCTCCAGGTCGCCCGTCTCGCCGCCTGCTGGCGGCGTCGCACGCGGCGCCCGCAGCGCGCCGAGCAGCAGCAGCAGCAGCAGCAGCAGCAGCAGCAGCAGCAGCAGCAGCCCCCGGCGCAGAGAAGCGACCACGGGCATCCAGGCGCCCCAGCCAGACCGCAGGAGGTCCGCAGGCGGCACCAGCCCAGGGGCGCGCGCTCCACCAGCTCGTCGAGGTCACGTCGAGGTCGACCATCGCGTCGGCGGCCACCGCGGCGTAGGACTGCAGGTGGGCCTTCAGCGGCTCGCGCTCTTGGCAGGGGCCCGCCTTCCAGCATAGGTGGAGGTGCTTGATCGTCGCTTTCTCGAGATCCTTCCCCAGACTCCTCGACGTCGCCCCGCGCGCCATCTCGCAGTCCACGACGGGGCCGGCGAGCGCTGGTCCGAGCGTCGCTCCAGCGCAAGGCCACCCTCGCAATCTGGCCGTCGACCGCGAAGACCACGTGCCGAGCGCTGCCAGTGCGGAGGGCGGCCTCCGAATCCCGGTAGAAGTTCGCCGGCGGCCCCTTGCCGCGGCCCGGCCCGTGCAACTGCACCTGCCGCGGCTCCTCGTTCAACTGGTCGGCCGTCTGCACCGCGATCGTCTTGTTGCGGTCGGGGCCGCAGTAGCGTTGCCTACGCCATGCGAGCCCTTCGCAGACGGGGGCGCGCATCCTCTGGGCCACCCCCGCGAGCCAGGCGCACAGCGTCAGGGCCATGATGACCAGCGGCGCCCCGAAGGCAATGCGACCCCCGAGCGCGAAGGAGTCCCAGGACGGGCCGAACAGGACGCGCCCCGCAGCGCGGATCGGGTTCCGCAGGTAGCCGCCTCCGCCCACGCTGGCCAGCTCCACAGTTAAGAAGAAGCTGGCGACGAAGCGGTACCCAAGGACGAAGATGCCTGCGAACTCCCCCGAGTTCTCATCGGACCACGCGTCGCAGGCGCCGCCCTGCCCGGGGCTGGCGCAGCGCCGCAGGTCGCCATCGTGGGCACCGCTGCCATTGGAGATCGCGCCGTTGAGCCCCGTGCTGTCGCTGCCGCCCCGGTTGCTGGAGCCGCTCCCGTCGTCGGAGCGGCCCCCGCCCGCGCAGTCGCGCAGCCTCGACCAGTCGAAGCCCGCGACCGAGCTCAGGAGCCGCGGCGCCCAGGCCGGGCGCGGGGCCAGCCCCCGCGCAAGCTGCGCCAGCGCCGGGGCCAGGGCCGCGGCGGCCCAGACCGGCACCATCGCGCGCCCGCCCCAGCGCCAATCGGGGCGCCGAGGTAGACGAGGCGCTCAGTGAGGCCCGGCAGGCGCGCCAGGCGCCCGCCGCGGCCCCCCGCCCTGGGGCCCCCCGCTTTGAAAAGAAACGCGAAAAAGGGCTGCAGCCGGCGGTGGTGGCCGACGGCAGCAGCACACCCCTTCGTTTTACCCGGCCCTTCAAAAACCCACGGTTTAGCAATCGAGTTTACAAGCCTACACTCACTCGCGCGTCGAATGCGGCCCTGAGCCAGGCATCCGTGCGCACCGCGAAGAAAAGTCCAAGGTCTCCGCCGCGCCCATGCTTCCAAGTCAACATTCCGCACAGTCAGGCCTCTCTCGAGGTGGCGCAATCGCGAACATGGCCCTTCAGCACCGGGTCGACATCTGCGCCCCAGGGGCGCGCCTCCGCGCGGAGGCCCCAAGCGCCATGGGGCGGTCGCGCGCTCCTTCCAGCCCCGAAGCCGCGAGGCGTCCGAGTCACCCGGCTGGTCTGTCAAGGGCGCGGGCTTGCTGGAGGTGGGCGGCCAAGCGATCCGGTCGCCGTCGAAGGGGGCGACGGGCCCGCCACCGCGCGCGTAGCTGGGCGCGCCTGACAGGGGCGCGCCGAGGGCTCCGTGTCGTAAAAGAAATTCTGGGGGAGGTGGTTCAACGCGCCGGTAACTGTGGCGAATGCCTTCCAGGGTCAAGCGCTGGCCCGCACTGGGGCCGACGTCGGAGCCGATGCCAAAACTGCCGCGCGTGTCACTCAGCACGGAGACGCCCGCGCGGGGCCCACATGTCAGCATGGGCAACGCGAAGACGGCGGCGGGCCACGCGGCGGCTCGCGGGATATCCCCAGCTAAACTGGTCGGGCGGCTGCTCGAGCGCGGCCAGCGGAAACAGGTCGCGCCGGCGGCCCCCGCCCACGCCCGCCGGGGAGCAGCAGCTCGGAGGGCTGGCGCAAGTCGCGGCGGAAGGCGCCCAGGTTCCCCCCGCCGCCGGGCGTTCGCGCATCTCCCCGCTGCCCCCGCGAGCCCTCCTTGCCTTTCTGCTTGGCGTTGGACTCTGGGGGGGGCTCGCTCCTCCCGCGCCTTTCGGCGCTCCTTCGCCAGCGCCGCCTCCTTCGAGAGCTCCAAGGCCACGTGGGACTGCAGCGGCGGACAGACGCGCAGAGCTGGCTCCCGAGGAAAAAATGGCGATCGCAGTTCTCGCGGCGGCGGCGCCTCCTCCTGCGCCCGCAGGGGGCGGCGCGCGACCTCGCGCGACGCCAGCGACGCCGCGCCCAGC